CATATCAGAAGAGATAAGAGAGCCATTTGACCTAGATCTCAAGCTCAGAAAAGGACCTCCAATTTAGTAGGTTAATTCAACCATGAAACTGGAACATTTGAATGAACCTGTTACACACAACTTTGTCCCCAAAGTAGATTTTTCATCAATACCTTAATGTATTAAAACAAAAAAGTCTGTAAAACATGCCCAAAGATTCAAATTATATCTTATTTTCTGTCTTATTTTATTTTCATGTATCTGGTTTTATCATGGCTAGGATCCTCAAAGAGTATAAATGACCTAGGTTTTACTCTGACATCCAAGAGCCTTTGGCAAAGCATGTGCAAGTGAGTTATAAGATTAATATAGTTAACTTGTCTAGAAGTAGCCAGGACCAAGAATGACTGGTGATACTTGTGCAAAAAGGCACAGAAGCAAATGTGCACATGAGATATTTCATGAGTATAGAGCATTCCAGGGGTGAATATGAAATAAGGGAAGGTCATGTTGGACTGTGGTAGAATGCCGGAACTTTTCTCAATACACAAAACAGAGCCCTTGAGAGTTATTTGTTTATTTTAGTAGAAGAGTGATAGTATGAGATCTTTACTTGTGAAAAAATTAGTCTGGTAGCTCAGAGAGGTCAGAATGGGAATGCGAAGGTTGGTTATGAGGTTTACTTATCTATCTATCTATTTATTTATTATTTATTTTAGACAATTGGGGTTAAGTGACTTGCCCAGGGTCACACAGCTAGTAAGTGTCAAGTGTTTGGCCTGAGGCCGAATTTGAACTCAGGTCCTCCTGATTTCAGGGCCAGTGCTCTATCCATTATGCCACCTAGCTGCCCCTTGAGGTTTTTTTTTTTTAGTCCAAAAGGATGGCAATGGAAGAGGATGGTAATGAATGCCTTTACTAAGGTAATCATAGTGGGAATGGAGAAAAGGGGGGAGAGTTTTGAGAAATGTTTCAAAAGTAAAATCAATAGGTCTTGGTAACCAATTGGGTATGAAAGATGATGGAAAGGGAAGGTTAAAGAATGACATAGTTTCAACATGGGAAAATGGGTGACAGAAATGGTGAAATTAGAAGGAAAAGCAGGTTCAGAAAAATAATAATCTTGGTTTTAAAAATGGCTTATGAGAAATCTAGGTGGTGATGGCCTATGGACAGTTGGAATTATAGATCTGGAGCTCAGAAGAGATGTGAGAACAGCAGATGTAGCTATGAGATCCCGTCTTTCTGGAAATAATCATTGAAGCCACAGGAACAAATGAGATTATCAAGGGAAGGAGTGTAGGGCGAAGAGGAAAGAATGGAGGACAGGCCATTGTGGGATACCCCATCCTGAGAGGTAGGGAGGAAGACGAAGAGATCTAGAAGAAGCAATTAAGTTGGCAGGAAAACCAGAGGAGAGCTGTGTCATGGAAACCAAGGGAGGAGAAAGTATCCAAAAGGAAGGGATGGTCAGAAGCATCAAATGCTACAGAAAGTTCCAGAAGGATGAAGACTTAAGGCCATTCTGTTTAGTGATAAGAAGGTCATTGGTGACCCTGAGAGAGGAACAGTTCAGTGCAGTTGAGGCAGCAGAAAGACTGCAAGAAAGTCAGCAGGAAATGATGAGGAAATGAAGGTGTCTGTTGTAGACAACTTTTTTGAAATGTTTAGTGATGAAAAGGTGATTGCTTACTGGTTATTCCTGGGGAAAATGAAGTAAGCTTTCTATTGAGGAGAAACTCAGCCTTCCGCTGCTATGGCACTGACAAGAGCCCCCTCTGAGGCAGCCCTGTTTGACAGCTGCTTTATCTCTTCCCAGATGCCTTCCCTCAGGGACATGGTGGAGGGGAGCTCCTTCTAAATTTTCAGCTGAAGCACCCGGTGCCTGTGTGTTGAAGTGCTCACCAAGCATTTGAGCCATACTCTGCTTTGTTCTGTCAAACAACCCACAAGTTTTTTGTGTTGTTATTTTTTGTTTTGTTTTGTGACATGAAACTGGGATTTTCTAACTTAGCAGTTTATTTGCTCATCTCAATGACTGTGTTCCTGGCTTCCTGAAGTCATCTCCTCAGGGAGGTAAAACCTGATCCAGCTTCCGTTTGATGAGTTTGCTCAACAGACATTTGAATTTTCTAATTTGCCCCAAAGATGGGATCCAGGGATGTGTGGCCCACTAGAGAATCAAGCCAATTCTCATGTAAATGCAATACCCACTTCAGCATCATCTGTCTGCATGTTTATATGGCCTATTGGACTGGATTATGAAGATGCAGGATAATATGAATCCAAAGTCAAAGGGACACTTATGGTATCTCAGATCTAAGATCTCTTCATTCCTCCAGTTTGGTGTGGGGGGGTGGGAAGGGGATAGACCTGTGATTTCATTGGTTTAGGGAACTCCCTCTCCCAGTACAGATTGGCATCTCTGCAACATATAATCTTTAGAGCACTAGCTCTTAACCTGGAGTCCATGAATTTGTGTTTTTTTTTAATATTTTTGATAATGATTTCATTATTATCAATTTCCTTTGCAATTCTATAGATTTTTTTTTTGTATTTAAAAATAACATTCTGGGAAAAGGTCTATAGATATCACCAGACTGTCAAAGGGGTCGGTGACACAAATCATGTTAAGAAGGGCTGTCTTCAAGACCTGCTTGGAACACTGAGAACTCAAGGCAGGATTTGAGCCCAAGCCTTCTTGACTCCAAGGCTATCACCCTATTCCCTATGTTAGGCTGCTTTTCTTTTCCCAATTATCATATGGAGAAAGGTCTAGATTCTAGACTATATTCTATCTAGGGGTGGGGAACCTGAGGCCTCAAGGCCACATGTGGCCCTCTAGGTCCTCCGGTGTGGCCTTTTGACTGAGTCCAAATCCTCTCATTAAGGGGATTTGTTCTGTGAAGTTTGGATTCCATCAAAGGGCAGCACTTGAGGACCTAGAGGGCCACATGTAGCCTCGAGGCCACAGGTACTTCACCCCGGGCTAGAAACTATGTTGTCAACAGATATAATAAAAGGAAGTTCCAGTAGAGAGGAAATAAAGGAATAAGCCATTTCTGTGCTGCCTATTATGTGCCAGGCATTGTGCTAAATGTGTTATAAGTATTATCTCACTTGATCCTCCCAACTACCCTGGGAAGTGGGTGTTGTTATTATCCCCATTTTACAGATGAGAAAACTGAAGCAAATATAAGTCAAGTCACTTGCCTAGGGACACACACCTGGTAAACGTCTTAGGCTGTATTTGAATTCAGGTCTTCCTGATTCCAGGATTCCCCAACCCTATCCACTGTGCCACCTAGTGGTTGCCTCTGATGTAGTACAGCCAATTCTCAGCTACTCAGAAGGCGATTTTTCCTTAGCAGGCAATTTATGCTTAATGGTTCTGGTTCTTTTTCCATTTACTTGCTCCACTAAGGAGACATAGAGCAGAGAAAGAAGGTAGAACATAAATGATGGCAAAATCTGCTTCTTGTTTAAAAAGTTGACCCTTTCTACTTTTTCTTCCTCATTCCATAAAATGTGAGGGAGAGGGAAGATGGGAGAATTGATCTAGGAGGTGAACTCCAAGGTGCTCATCAGTTCTACATCTATGCTCCTATAAACTGATTTCCTGAAGTGAAATTTTTATTATTATCTGTACATTGCATTTCTTTCTTTTTGCACCATCAGAAAAAAAAACTTTTTTTAAACTCCACATTGAGATGGCCTGTAGAGCATTTATTTACAAGAAAATAAAGCAAACTTTTCTTGTGGCTACTGCAAAGGAACAAGGCTTTTCCCTTGTCCTTTGGAGGTTTGAGAAATGATCACTCCTGCAAAAATATAGGAAAGGTTTTTGCATTTTATTGGAATTTTCATATTAAAAGTGAACTAGATCGCCATGCATCAGGGATTCTCTATCCTCTCTCCCACAACCCTCTGCCTTTGTCTTCTCTGTGCCCTTTGCCTGACGTACCCACCTGGCCTCCTTCTGGCAAATGAACTAAATATACTTTGAAGCCCAGTTCAAATGTCTGATTCCCCTGATCAGGAAGGACCTTTATTTCAATATAATTCAATAATCATTTATCACACGCCTATTCTATGCAAGGCTGTAATGGGAGGTTCTGTGGATACAAAATGAAACAGATCCTGACCTTTCCCTCCAGACCTTCCGAAGTACTTTATTTTGTAACTCTTCAATGCACTTACTGTGTGGAATTATGTTTTAGCTATCTATACTGATGGCATCCCACTACTACACTGTATATTACTTGAGGGCAGGGACCCTGTCTTTTGTCTCAACTCTGTATCCCACTCAGCATCTAAGACATTGCCTTAACCATAGTGGCTAAGAACTTGTTGGTTGTCATTGGTCAGAAATTCCATACCAAGGGAGATTGGAGCCTGGGTGAGGGGGTGAGAGGACAACCTGACTTGTGATCTAGACTTGCTTTAATGCCCTTTCAGACTCTGGATTATAGCAGTCAATGGAAGGGCAGGGTATGAGATAATGAGAACAAATGATAAACCCTCAAATCCCCTCTCTGAAAGGCCCTTCTTGAAGAGTAAAATTGGTGATTTAAAGACAGGAGTAAGATTAGATTGATTGCATTTTCCCTACTTCAGAGAAGAAAAAATGGAAACCCAGTGGGTCAGATGACCTGTGTGAGACCTCAGAAAAGGACTGAGGTAGGAGGGATGTCTACTCCCCACGGATCAAACTGACGTTCTAACTGCAAAATAGCAAGCATTCTCAGTCTCAGCTGAGTGCTGCTCTGGGCACACAGCAGGTTCACAGCTCAGGAAGTCCTTGTTGACTGATTGACTGATTTGATTAATTGGACTTTGCTACCAAAGGGCCTCACTCTTTTATCCCCCCTTCTAGTAAGGACAAGTAACAAATGGCTCTAACCAAGCCTGCCAGCCTGAGCTTTCTGATTCGACAACAGCAAATTGAAAAACCTTGCCTTGCACTTCTAATTTTGATTACTCAGTGAGTTTCTTTTTCTTTTTCTTTTCTCATTCCACAGCTCCAGAAGTCCTTGCACAGAAACCTTACAGTAAAGCCGTTGACTGCTGGTCCATTGGTGTGATCGCCTACATATTGTAAGTATTTACATACTCTCCCGGTGACCAGGAAAAGATATTATGGCAAAGTTAGCAATCATTTTACTAAAAATAGAAAACTGGGTCTCCTGATTGCTTCTATCATGAATGGTTCTGCATAGAGACCATATTTGCCCCTGAAATCTAGTTGGTATAAAACCTGAGCATGACCTATAATTGATGTTATTTTTCATGTTATATGTTATATGAGAAGCAGTATGGTATAATGCAGGGGTGGGGAACCTGCGACCTCAAGGTTACACACAGCCCTCTAGGTCTTTGACTTCAAAGGGCCGCACTTGAGGACCCAGAGGGTCACGTATGGCCTCAAGGCTGCGGATTTCCCAACCTTGGAATATATAGAACTAAGATTTGGCATTGGGAAGATTCTGACTTGAATCCTAATCAGACATTTTACCAGCTGTATAACTCCAGGTCTTATTTTCCTCATCTGTAATCTGATGAAGTCTGGGCTCAATGACCTCTAACGCCTTTTTTTTTTTTTGCTAGGCAATGAGGTTAAGTGACTTGCCCAGGGTCACACAGCTAATAAGTGTTATGTGTTTGAGGCCATATTTGAACTCAGGTCCTCCTGAATCCAGGGCTGGTGCTCTATACTCTGTGCCACCTCGCTGCCCCCCTAAAGCCCTTTTCAATCCTACATCAATAATCCTGATTTTTTCCCAAAAGTCGACTTTTGGAGGGGGAGGAGATGTATTATTGAACCAATATTATTCTTAGTATAACCCCATGAAATAAAGTGAATATGTACATGGCATAATAATAACAGTAATAACACATTTGTTCTGGTTCAATCACTTTTTTCAGTAGTGTCCAATGGTTCATGATCCTGTTTGGGGTTTTCTTGGCAAAGATACTGGAGTGGTTTGCAATTTCCTTCCCCGAGTCCTTTTACAGGTGAGGAAACTGAGGCAAACAGAGTTAAGTGACTTGCCCAGGGTCACACAGTTAAGTGTCTGAAGTCAAATTTGAACTCAGATCTTCCTGATCCCAGACCCAATGCTGTATCCACTGTGCCACTTAGCTGCTTCAATAACACATTTACATAGCCCTTTATGGTACATGAAACATTTTCCTCATAAAATAACTATATGATATATACATTTCCCATTTCACAGATGTAAAATACCTGGGAATCACAAAGCACCAGATAAATGTTTGCTATTATTATAGATATTGTTATTATAGGAAGGGTTGGTAAATTGCTTCAAGAGGATCCTTTTTTAAAAAATCCATCTAAAAAGTTAATGTTACAATTATCATTTTTTCCAGTTTTATTTTCAAAATCTTGTTTTGGAACACCATTCTGAGATGGGACTAAAATAAAAGTGCATCTTGGGCCAGATATTTTACACAATTGGTTAAAAATGAATTTTCCTCCCAAATTAGGGACTGGTCCCTGGCAGAAATAGCGGGCTGCATAACATTTCCCTGGAATATGTGGGGGCTCAGTCAGAGAAAGGTCTGACTGCTCATTACCCTGTTCTCCCCAGATATTGTTCCGAGACTCACTCCTTTGACATTTACTTTTTTCCCTCATTTTCTGAAAGATTCATTGTTTTTCCCTGGCATTTAGTAGCTTATCTTACATAACTGGAAATCTTATTAACTTTTGTGTCAATTTAGAAGGGCATTGCATGGAGCTCCATCCAAACATGTCTATTCCAATGTGACATGCCTGGGTCAATATGACCTACTGAGATAACGTGTTAAGACTCATTCTGTTCAATTAACTGGTGATAAAAGGGATGAAAATGATGTGATTTCTCAAGAACAGGGAGAATGGGACATAGACCCAAGAAGAATGGAATGGGGCAAAGGAGAAATCCACACGTGTGGATTTACATGCATGTACATGCATATCTATACTTATACATGTGCACACACACATATGTGTGTATATATATGTTAACCAAATGAGTCATACATAATAAGAGTTATAGGAATTTGAAGGGGGAAAAGATCACTAGGGGCTGAAGTTGTCCAAGTTAGGAGTTGATATTTGCACTGTTCCTCAAAGGGTCGATAAGTCAAATCCCTTGAGTGAATTAGAAGGAGAATAATGCCACTGGACAAGCAATGAGTGACCACGCTGCTAAGTGACCCTTAAAAGACCATGCAATAGTTTGAAAGTCAGTTTGAGTGAATCCAGGCAGAGCTAGACTTGAAGAGCAGCTTGCTTCCCAATGAGGAACAACATGTGTAGCAGGTACATAGAACTGGAAAAAGGGAGGGAGGAAGTGAGGGGTGGGGTGGGGAGAAGGAAGGAAGGAAGAAAGGAAGGAAGAAAGGAAGGAAGAAAGAAAGAAAGGAAGGAAGAAAGGAAGGAAGGAAAGAAAAGTGGAGCTGAGAGAAGCATGATGGAGGTGGCTGGTCTAAGTCTCTGTGGGCTGGTATAGTACAATGAGTGTAAATAAAGATGTTACCTGTGTTGCTAAAAAGCCCCCTGGCAACAATGGAGGTAGGCATTCAGTTCTGGGACGTGTCATAAGGCACAGAGGAGGGTGAGCATGGCATAGGAGAATACAGATCTGTAAGTCATGAAATTGGACTGCTCGTACTAGCCTTAGGTCAAATTACTAACTTAGCCAAATAGTAACCTTAAAAATAAATTAGGGCTCAACGTCAAAGATGTCAAGTTCCTAATCTTTTACTCTCACCCACTGATCTATTCTGCCTCTTTTTAATAAAGAACCATCAACTGCAGATTTATCCTCTAGTTCTTGATGTGGACTGTGACCAAGAGCAGGTTTAGTTACCCAGGGGAGCCTGCCTTCCCACAAGGGTTAGCAAAGATTCCCACATTATTAATATCAACTGGAATGGAAAAGAATTCAGACAACTTTCTTCAGGAAGCAACAGTATTATTTTCATTTGATAAGCCTGTCTGTCATATAGCTACAAGACTGTAGCAAAAAGGGACTGCAATACACACCAGTATCCAATTGGCTCCTCTTGGTGCCTTTTCCATCTATATAAACATTGCTGATTTTGTCAGCATGAATAACTTGTATAACAGTATGACATAGATCTATTTTTGGTCCCTACACTAATTGCCATATTAGCCATCATTTAGAAGGACAGATTCTCCCCACTCCCCCACTACCATCCATGCCTTCTAAGGAACATTAGTCTTTTAGCACATTTAATGGGTCCTTCTCTCATACCTATATCGTATTTTCACAGTCTTTTAGAGCAGCTGTGGAGACTTGCCTTGAAAATAGATCTAATAGATTTACAGTGAATAGTTCATCTGTAAAATTAATGACAGAGAAAGGGTTCAAGGTATACCAATCAAGTGCTGATGCCTGGCCTAGGCCTATACCACTCCCTCATACAAGACTAGAGTACCAGACAAAACTATCTCCCAAATCACAATGGAAGCAAGCACCTGTCACCTGACCAAAACCTCACATCCCCATTCTCCCTTGTATTCTGCATGTCTTTTCAGGACCTCAAACCTCAAAGAGATTATTTGATGATAATGATGATGATGATGATGTACCATAGTTGTGTCCCCAGGGCACAAGGAGATTCAAATTGTTCTTTTTGGCCTTGACTAAGGAAGGCCTTAGAAAGATTTCCATTCCCAAAATATCTTTTGAAGCAGATAGGTTAGAGGTATTGTAACAGAAACTAGGAAATCAGTCTAGAGAGACTGGAGTTTCATCTTTGAACATTTGTTTCAGGTGTTGTTAACATGGATTCACTGAAAGTTATTATCAATGGGAATCTTAAAATAATAAGGTCCAGTACCCTGGTTTTATAGGTGAGGAGACTGAGGCCCACAGAGGCTAATTAATATGCCTAAGGTCACACAAGTAGTCAATGGGTGAGCTGGCACTTGAACCCAGATTTGTTTTTGTTTTGGGCTCCTCTTTTGGTTATGCTATTCAGCCTTTGTCTCATTTCCTTGTCTAGAAGAAAGTATTTGGATTATTTTCTTGTAGTGACTTTATCCATTATTGGCTACTACCTACACTCCATGAATCTTCTCTATGTACTGTGTAATATTTGAAATAAATCACATGAGGGGTGGGGGTTGGACTAAATGACCTGGAAGGTCCCTTTCAGCTCTATTTATTATTATTTATTCTCCATGACCCTATTGTTTGATGTGCCTGTTCTGTCCATTTTTCCTAGGACGTAGAATAAAGCATGTTAAGGCTTTATCCTTTTACACTAAATAGTTGACAGCTGGCTGTTCATAGGTTATATGTCTTTGAAGAAGAATAATTACAACTAAATGCCATTGGAGAAGAAAAGAAGAATAGTTACAAAATTTCAGTAAAGTGATGGTGTCGAATGCAATGTTATTAGTATTAATCCTATTATACTAATGAGAATAATTAATAGGCAGCCAAAATCAATTGATAAGAATTTATTAAGTGCTTTGCTGTGAGTATGTCAGACACTGTGCTAAGCAATAGAGATACAAAGACAAAAGCAAAAAAAGTCCTCGTCTTCAAGGAGCTTCCATTCTATCTAAAGAGATGATGTGCTGAGCACTGACCTTTTTTTGTCCCTAAATTATGAGTTTCATCTGGAAGGCTGGTTCAAGCCTCAGGGTATTCTACCTGTCATCAAGAGTATAGGGTCTGAACCTCAACTTCCAAGTTTCAGAACCCAATTTTATCATTTTTCCTAGAGAAGAACAATCCCTAACTAGTTAATTCATACTAGAAATGAAATTATAAACCCAAGTACCAGCTTACTAATCTCCAATGAGAAACACGATCAAATTTTTTGTCAGCCTGTTGTGTATGCTTATTTCCCATTGAGGAAACCTACTTAAGAAGTGGAATTATTATATTAAGGTTGCTTAGTAAATATTCAATCAGGGCAAAGGTAATGAGATGGTTGTAAGCATTTTCCCCAAGCCTAGTAAATGACCCTTCTCCACCAAAGAGATATTCAGACCAGATATCTGTGGCAGTTCATCAAAGTACCCTCTCGCCTGTACAATGCTGGGGTAATGT